CTGCCGTTGACTCAGCGCCACTATTACACACACGCAGACCCTGGAGGCAGAGTATCCCCCCTCAGTTTCCAGGCGAGCAGCTCTTAAACAAGCTAGGCCTCGTTGAACTGTGACCTCCTCGCAGAACATGCCCTTGGGGTAGCTCCACAAGCACAGGAAGTGTGAGTCTTTGTGTGTGGGAGTTTACGTGTGTGTGTGACCATGTATGTTAGTGCACTCAGGCCCCCATATGATTAATTAAAGTATTCATATATTCAAGTATGATTTCATCCATCTGATATTCTTGTTTCAGTGTGTGGACGCCTTTTTTCCCTCTTTTTCTTTTTTTAAACTTGCATTGGTGAGGTTGTTGTTTGTTGTCGTCTTTTAGGTCGATTAGGCTTTTAATCTAAAAACACTCCATTTTAGGATCACTCTATGCTCAGTGAAACGCACACACGCAGATGCACAGGAGCTTGTATTAATGTCTTGTTTATGTTTATGATGGATGATGCATCTGAAGCTCTGTCAGCCTGTCTCTCCCGTCTCACCCCTGCCTCTGTAAGCACTCCGTACACTTAAACAAATCACCTCAACTAACTCGATCAAATGTTCTGCAGACGCATTTTTGAATTAAAAAGGTAAGAAATTTCACGAAGCAGAGACATTTGTTTTAGGACAATTGGATTAAAGACGGGCTTGGTTGTCGCTCGCCCGGCTGGGCCTGTACAGGGTTGGCGCCACCATCGCTGCCAATAGCATTTGTGGCATCACGCGCCCTCAATCACATGTTGCCATGCATCTGTGATCCCGTGCAAATGTGAGTGTAATTAGTTTCTTGTGCATGTTTCATTGTTTTTCCTCCTCATACGTGCTTCCGGTATCCTTCTTTCCTTTAAGCCATTTTCCATTCGTAGCATCCTATCCATCTTTTTTTTTCTTTTTTACATCATCACAAAAAAAAAATCTTATGAACTGTCACAGCTTCAGGACATCTATGAGGATTTTGGTGTGTGTGTGTGTGTGTGTTCGCTATTTTGTGCGTCATCTTCCTTTCATGTATGTACACACTGAGCCTTGTTATTTCCCTTGTGTTTGTGTTCATCTGTGTAACTCTACTAGCTGTGGGTTTGCTCTTTTGGCCTTAGCCGGCCCTCCACTCACATCTCCATCCATCACAGTCTCCAGGCCCACCCTCAGGCTTCACTTCGCCACACAGTCCCTCACCCTACCTGCAGAGGCTCTCTAGTTTCTCCCCGGGCTCCACATCGGGCCTGTGGCCAGGGGCACTGAGTAATGGACAGCTCTGTAGGTGGTAAGAGGCCAGAGGAGACACACATGCTCGCAGACGCACACAAAGGCACACACACACACACACACACACACACACACACACACACACAC